AGTATATACAGATTGTGGTTTCGGAGATGGTTTTGCGTCATTCAGCAGATCTAAGCTTCGAACAAAAACTACTTCAAACTCCTCAAAAGTCGTAATTTGTCAATCCTATAGACGATGAATTCGACGAGAGGCTCATTTAGGTGTGTCGTATTATGCAGTCCATTGGAAAACCTTACATCGATCTCCCCCCCCCCCCCCCCGGGCCCAAAATTCTATAGTCGCTAAAACTCATTCACTCTGATGCACACAGAAGCCTCCAGAAAAATAAAAGCAAATCAACTTTCTATTTATTGTAAGTACCTTCGTAGTTTCAAAAACCGGACCCGCGTGCTGGATTCAGTCCAACGTCGTTGTCCATCCGGACTGCGCATATTTGACTAGTTAAAAATTAAACTAACCTTGAGAACGGGCTTAATTTTTGGTAATAACACTTTATATTTAATATCAGGGCAGGCAGCCATGATGAGAAAACTAAACTCGACATGAGGCTATTGCTCTACGTTTCAAGCAGTATCGATAAAAATCACTTAAGAACAAACAACATTAATGAGGGAAAATTCCGAAATTACAGGAGTTCTCACGGCCATGTGGATGATGATGATGGGTTTTTAACGTCATGTACTGTCGTTGGCAGATATAAATATTTATAAGATATATTCTGTATCCATCTTTATGGCTAATTTGCAATAAACAAAGGCGATAGTCTTCATGTCACAGGCTCAGTCAATGTTTGCGTACATTACTGTCTCGACCTGTACATGATATTACCGATAATAGCCGCCTATAACATTACAACTATTATAAATGTGTCTGTTGTAAATTTTTATTACTTGTGCTGAGTTATTATTTATACGCCTCACTGAATCCACACTGCATGAACTTTGCCGAGCAGTCGATAGTTTAAGTAACCCTTCTTGAGGAACACGAATATTCGTAAGTCACAACAAACGCCACTAATTTCACTATTACGAGAGTATTTTATGACACGCTTATAAACGTCCATGACACTACACAGGAACAAAAACCCTAAAGAAGAGGACTTGAAATCGCACAAATTAATTCTCGTGATAGACCCATCTTCACAGCGTATTCTGGTCCAGTCCGTGGTACATGCCAAGTTCATCTCGAATGTACCACGTGAGTGGCGATACATGTCGACATATATTGCCTTATACTGACAACGGGCTGGGTAATACCGGCAGGGACAGACGGACAGACGTTTATGTCTTAGCCATGACGTCCAGACTACCTGATGGTCAATCTAACCTCCTGTGCGCTCCTTTCTCGGGGGTAAAATGACAGAACATGAAGCATAAATGCGTGGAGCCTTATTTATAGTCGCCATACGTCTTCACTGCGTGGTGCTACGGCACGGGCACAGATTTGATATTTATAACTTGGTCTTTATTCGGCTACTTTCGCCTTAAACTGTGAGGGAAATTACGAGAAAAGGGAAGAAATGATCGCCCTAAAAATATGGTCTGTGTTTAAAAGTACAAATTGTAAACTTCCACAATACGTAATTTTCTCCATTCTCTTGATAGATCTTATAACTAGATATTCTCATGAAATAATTTCTTCTCAAACATCCCAAGGTCAGAGAACAAGTTTCCAAGCCATGTAAAACAGCAGGTAACATTTTTATTATTATTTAGTGTTCTGTCTTACGACAGGTCCATTGCTCTGCCCAAAAAGAGCTCTCCAGTTTACCCTATTCTCAGCTTCTCATTTTAATTCCTGAAACTTCATCTTCTTTCCTTGTTTCAGATAGTCAGTTAGCTGTATCAATCTTCTTCCTAGTCCTCTCTTTCCTTCAACCTGGCCTTCGATGATATCACTCAGTAACCCATTCCTTCTCATAATATGTCCCAGCCAGTTAGCTTTCCTTCGTGCAATCTTTGCTCGTTGACTCTCCTCAATACTTCTTCGTTGGTCACTCGATCCGTCCACCTGATCTTCTCTATTCTTCTCCAACACCACATTTCAAAACTCTCCAGGTATTTCCGTTCTTAATTTCTTCCATTTTACTCGATCGAAAGAGCTTTGTATATTTAAACCATTTGAGTTTCAGACGAGAGATGGCTAGATAATGATTCTACAACTAAATTGCAACAAAAACTACTTTAAAACTAATCTACTCTTAATATTGTCGAGAATAACATTTTGATTTATCATTATTTTTCTCAAACATTTAAACTTCGTCAAATTTTCGAATGATTTTGTAGCTTCCTGGGCTGGTAACGAGAAATAAACATACATACAGCCATCCTGCCTTAAATTTCGTCTCTAAATAAAGATGAAGTTGTGGCTGGCACAAAACTGAGCACCACGTACGTTTTTACAAGCTTCTCTTACTGATAAAGTTGAACGCAACTGCTATTTCCCCGCTCGAATTGCATGACTCACCGCCAAGGGTTAAAGGTTTCCCCAGCAGTAACATCAACTTACATTTATATAGCCTTATATGCCATTATATATATACATATATATAATGGCATATGTTAATATTTTTACCACAGACGAACTCCATTTTCTCGTGACTTCTAGAAATCTCATGACAATGCAATCCGAGTTATAAAATGGTGTCCGTGTCCTTGTTTCACATCATCCTGAACAGAAACTGCGTCGTACAAATGTGTGGACACCCACACGAACTTTACTGTAGCATTATTCTTTAATCTCCTCTAAACTTCATCACAGAAGTTGGACGGAAAATCTCTGAGACAGATTAATTGTGATAACATACAGATTTTCGTTTAGATCCAAAAAGTTATTGAAGTTTTGTCATATCCACCCACCAACTCATCCCTAACTCTTTGTGTATGTAAACTTTCGTAGTTAGGAAACAAGAGCTTTCTATTCACTTTGAAGATGAAAATCAGTTTATGGGGTTACAGAATCTTTCATCAAACATCGTTGTTGCTACTTGTAAGTGGGTGGAGGCTTTGAAAATAGCATTACTAAACTGCACCGTATTGTTTCAATAATGCAATTGTTTTCATTACTTAACTTTTATGTTTGAAATACAATAATGTGATAATTTTTAAGGATTTTAAATGTACAATTATAAAGCAATGTATGCACAGGAAAGTTAATTAAATTTCATAGTTTCGTCTTAAATAAATGAAGACCTATTCGATTCACATTCAATTTTCTCAAGGAAATCAATTTCCTATCATTGCACATCACAGCAAAAAGAAGATACTGTTTAAAACCATCGACAACATCAAATTTAAATTATAAATTTGACAATGCGTTTCGATTTCATATTTTATGCCTAATATAAAGGCACTCAATATGTTATTCCATATTGTGGCATAGAACACAGATGAAGGTATTTGAAAACGATGCTGATAAAAACATTTTTTGCCTAAGAGTAATGAAATAACAGAAGTATTAAGTAAATTGGATTTATGAAGAACTCAAGATTTTGTACCAATCGCAAAACGTTTTTAGGAGATCAAAGAAGAATTGTATGGGCGTGGCATGCAGCATACATGAATGAAACAAAACATTAGTACAAAACTTCTAAACAAACTCTCAGGGAACACACATGCTTATTTTAATCGATTTAAACACACGAGATTTTTCCAATCACATTTTCGGAGAAGAGTTCGTCTTTAGAAGTCTACAGTCGATTAGCTATTCAATGAATTCCCAACTTCTGTGTACCATGAAAGTTCATTACAACGTAAACAAAAGCCGAAAACGGATCCTTATCCTGAGCATTACGAATCCAGTTCATTCCCTCCCTCCCTCAATTCCAATTTACTCCTTCCTTTTACAACTAGGTCTTCCTTCAGGCTTTCAGTCAAAATTTAGTAAGCATTTTTCATCTCCCATACGTGATACATACCCGTCCATCTCACATTTCTTGATTTAATCGTCTTAATAATACTTGGCAAAGATTTAAGTTATGGAGCTCCTCACTGTAAATTTCTCAGCCTCCTGGTACTTCATCCCTTACGAAAGACCAAGTTTCGTACGTATAAAAACAACGACCTGAGGTTTTGACGGCGATGTGAATATATAATATCACAGTCTACAGGTAAAAGTATAATTGTGTACATTTTAATCTTAACTACTTTATATCGCAGACGGGAAGACAAAAGATGGCGAACTACACAGTAGCAAACATTCCCCGAACTTAATTTTCTCACAAATGAAGAAGTTTGTCTTCTGGGTTGTTGCGCCGTGCAGTCTGTTAGAAGTTTACAGAAGTTTTAGAGGTCCTTACTGCCTCCATTATCAGGGCGACCCAGAAGACAGTCATCTTCAGACTCGCTGCCGTGGAAACATCAAATTCTACCTCCTTATAATTGCTTCTTGAATGCAATTTTGATTAGTTATCCTATTTTATAGTACTGTATTTAAGCTGTACCACATGTTCGAAGAATTTATTAACTGCCTTTTTCCCCAGTACCTGAAGAACATGAAATATTTGTTCAGCAGTCTTCAATATCAAGGCATAAAATATTAAATTTCTCATCATAGAATATTCTTTATCATCTTGTTCATTTTGACACACATAAAACCGGTTGAGTTAGAATGAAACCTATGCCTGTCTAATTCCAAGGTCAAGAATACGTGGAGTTTTATCATCGTACCTTACAGATAAGCTGCTTAAACAAACGGCAAAGTTAATAATTTATTAAACTATATATTGTTTTCCGTGAATATTGACAGTTTTTAATATTATAACCATATCTATGTTTCGCTCTGGCCTTTTTGGCTGGGATATTTTGATATGTGAGTAGATTAAATAGAAAAATCACTCGCGAATTTAAAAGTTAAATTTTGTTTTCAACGAACAACATGACACTTTTGCATGGAAATATACTAAAAGAAAATTTATTTAATAATCCAGGTTGAAGATGATTATGTAAATCTGTATGATTAGCAACTGTTACAAGCGTAGACCCATTAGATCTACTTGACGTAATCCATGTATTTATTACAGGAAATGGAATTTTAGTTAGAGAGTTTTTTTTAAGACTTACCCATAAATTCGAGGCCCCCAAGTTTCCAGGTTCCCTTCTTCGTAACTAGAATGCTGCTAGGACACACATTCCTGTGAAGGACATGGCCCGAATAATGGAGAAATGACAACGCCTCCGTGATCTGAAAAGATACAAAACCAACATTCGAAGAATTCAAAGAACACAGACCAACAATAAATAACACACCGCGTCTACACACAAAGTAATTATAAGTTTACTTAGTAATCTAAAAAGGTATTGTATTTACTAACACCTGCGTTAACTCTTTTGAAAACAAAATTCGTCTAAAATAATATTTAAATATACAGCCCGTACCTCAAAGAAAACACAACACTTCCACGTTACAACGATAAGCTGGAAAACGTTCTTTATGGAAATCGCTGTTTTCTTTGTTAACTGTACGAAACCCATATACAGAATGCGGAGTTACTAACAGTTAAAGCAGGTGGTACAAATAGTTACCACTGGGCTTTAAAGGTTTATCGTTTTTGGGGGGAGGGTAGAAATAACTGGAGTGTGTAAAATCTGCATAATAAGAAACTTCCGAACTTCTAACGTAAACCAAATTATCTTACGGTGATTCAGATCTTCAATGACGGGGCAGATTCGAGATGTACGGAAGCACGCACGTGAAAGGAAAGAAATGCATACAAAATTTTGTTTGGAAACGAGAAGCGAAGAAGAAATCATTTGGGAAACATGTCTACAATGCGAATTACATTAATGCTATAATTTGAATTTATTCTTGTGCGTTATTAAGTACCATGCCACGAAAATGTATACAGAAGTGTACTTAAAACTACAAGAATTTTAACATTATTTCTCGCCATTTTGGAGCCAATATATTTATTACAGTCAATTGAATAAACATTTCCTTGGATATTATCCATCGTCTAGTAAATATAAAACGTAAAAAACGACGTTTCGGAGATGGGTTCAGGTTCCTACACAGTCCCTATCTCCGGACCGGGATTAGCTCTATCTAGTGGGCCCAACTGTGTAGGAACCTGAAGACGGAGATAGAGTCCCATCTCCGAAACGTCGTTTTTTACGTTTTATATTTACTAGACGATGGATAATATCCAAGGAAATTTTTATTCAATTGACTCTTCACCATCGTCAAGAAGTTTTAGATTTGATATATTTATTACAGTGTTCAGAAGAGCCAATCACAATTTCCTGCCTTGAGCCACATGAATAAAATCCACAACTTTAAGTCATATTCCTTTAAAATTCATTTTAAACAAATATATCAAAATAGCAACAAATAATCTGAAGAAATATCCAATGTTGAATGTAAATCTGGCAGTGCAAAGAATCTACCGTAAAAATGTGAGGTACGAGGTTCTCACAGGTTTGACGAAGACGACGATGCTGTTGTTCTGAGTTTGATGACCGACGTGTATACTCGTAAGTAGATACAAATGTTTCAAAGAAACATTCACTCTGCATCTTCAGGGCTGAAGTGATGGCATTGAGAAATGTAGATATGACGGTTCTTGGGAATTGTCCAAAAAATCTCAAAACACAAATGTCGACATGAAGACTTCCGTTTTTCATCGTTGGTAGCCCTGCTACACCCTACCATACTCGTACTATTGAACGGGCGTTCTGTTTGCAGCCAGCGTTCCGAAAGGCATTTCCTCTTGGTCACTTGTTCGTTACAATAGAATTGGTATAAACAAACAGTACTCAATGGTTCTGACCCCATATAATGCGTACAACATGATGGATTTTCCTGCTAGATCAGAGGGCTTCAGAATGTGTTAATGGATTTCATACACGTTTCTCTCCGCAAATACTAGAGTGGAATAAGGATTAGACAGAGATTTGAGGCTGAAGTTGTCGATGTCGGTCTATCGGGCAATAAATACCAACGTTTCGTAGAAATATACTGACTCAATTTTCAGGGCTAAAGTAAGGTTTAAGAAGTGGATAGTTCACGAGAGTTACGAAGACGTAGAGGTCAAGGTTAATGACCAAACCAGAAATACCTGAGTTACGGCTACATATCCCTTACTTCGCAGCTCTAATTGCACAATTCCATGATCTGATCCTCCGATCCTATATAAATCGTCATCACCCTCACCCTCCGCACATTAGCCCTGAAGATGTAGGCAGTATGTTCATCCAAAATTGTTGTATAAAATCAATAGACTTTTCGGCGTAACAACACAGAAGATCTATACAAAATCATCCCCTCTTCCGAAGCTACGGCAGGTAAAACAGAGTAGTTAAACAGCTAAAAACTCTTTTTCTTTAATAGACCACGACAATGTTGTCTAAATTCTTATACGCCATTTACAATAACTTTTCTATCTCAGAAAACAGCGCTATAAAATGATGTGAATCGATGACAGTGACCGGTCCTGTGTACGCAACTGACGTGTGATGTGACTCAACTACGACAAAATGTTAAGTGGACCAGACAGCTCCCAGCGTTTAACCTGACAAAGCTTAACTGGATGTATATAAATTTAAACTGGGATAAATAATTAACGAAGTCTGAGCTGCTGTTCTAGAGCACTAGAGCTTTTCCTCGTTCCAGTGATGAAAAATTAACGTTAAAATTACAGTGACATTATAATAGGCGCTGCCGGAGAACGTAGTCGACGAGTAATTTAATGTAGTTCTGAACGATTCCACCTGGTTTAAGCCGGTGGAAAATGAGAAACGGTGCGAGACAGCTTAGTGGGAATATTTAATGTTTAAATGACATATCTCCACCTGTAACTTTAATATATGGGGACAGAGGAGGATGGAAATGTCGTCCTGGGTTTTCACGCTACAAATGATGCTTAATACTGAGTTTGATCTGGAGCTCTGAAGGTGCAGACAATACATTTATCTGAAACGCTGGTATTTATCTACACAAATCTACACGGCGCTATTGAAGCTGTCACACAAATAAGAGACACTGAAGCCGGGTAACATCAAGGCAAAGAATGGTACTGAATATTTATGATTTGAGGTTTTCAGAGTGGTGCCTACGAAGATTTCTGTCTTCTGGGTTGTTGCGCTGTGAAGTCTGGTCGATGTTTACCAACGTTTCAGAGGACATACTGAGATGAATCGCCCTGATGACGGAGGCAGTATGAGCTCTGAAACGTTGGTTAACATCGACCAGACTACACAGCGCAACAACCCAGAAGACAGAAATCTTCATCGCCCTGATGATGGAGGCAGTATGACCTCTGAAGCGTTGGTAAACATCTACCAGACTACACAGCGCAACAACCCAGAAGACAGAAATCTTCATCGCCCTGATGATGGAGGCAGTATGACCTCTGAAGCGTTGGTAAACATCTACCAGACTACACAGCGCAACAACCCAGAAGACAGAAATCTTCATCGCCCTGATGATGGAGGCAGTATGACCTCTGAAGCGTTGGTAAACATCTACCAGACTACACAGCGCAACAACCCAGAAGACAGAAATCTTCATCGCCCTGATGATGGAGGCAGTATGACCTCTGAAGCGTTGGTAAACATCTACCAGACTACACAGCGCAACAACCCAGAAGACAGAAATCTTCATCGCCCTGATGATGGAGGCAGTATGACCTCTGAAGCGTTGGTAAACATCTACCAGACTACACAGCGCAACAACCCAGAAGACAGAAATCTTCATCGCCCTGATGATGGAGGCAGTATGACCTCTGAAGCGTTGGTAAACATCTACCAGACTACACAGCGCAACAACCCAGAAGACAGAAATCTTCATCGCCCTGATGATGGAGGCAGTATGACCTCTGAAGCGTTGGTAAACATCTACCAGACTACACAGCGCAACAACCCAGAAGACAGAAATCTTCATCGCCCTGATGATGGAGGCAGTATGACCTCTGAAGCGTTGGTAAACATCTACCAGACTACACAGCGCAACAACCCAGAAGACAGAAATCTTCATCGCCCTGATGATGGAGGCAGTATGACCTCTGAAGCGTTGGTAAACATCTACCAGACTACACAGCGCAACAACCCAGAAGACAGAAATCTTCATCGCCCTGATGATGGAGGCAGTATGACCTCTGAAGCGTTGGTAAACATCTACCAGACTACACAGCGCAACAACCCAGAAGACAGAAATCTTCATCGCCCTGATGATGGAGGCAGTATGACCTCTGAAGCGTTGGTAAACATCTACCAGACTACACAGCGCAACAACCCAGAAGACAGAAATCTTCATCGCCCTGATGATGGAGGCAGTATGACCTCTGAAGCGTTGGTAAACATCTACCAGACTACACAGCGCAACAACCCAGAAGACAGAAATCTTCGTACTGAATATTGTTCACTAACAGTGTAGTTAAACACTCGATGTCCACACTAAACGTCTTTATGTCAAACATTAATTAGTCAGAAACTTAGTTTGGTTTTTTATAATCTTCTGATCCACCAAACCCTCCCTGCAACTATTATTGTTCTACTAAAGTTAACATTTGCTCTTTGGACCACTCGTCACACATAACAAAATTAAGATACGAAGAACCTGAAGACTTGAGAAATTTACCGAAGTAACTATATATTTAACTGAAAATTATAGCTGCATAAAACAAGATACTGATACATAACCTTTACTTTTATTATTTACTTCAGATGCTTTTTTGTAAACAACAAAGGATGGGCGTGGTATAAACGAAAACTGTTCGCAAGAACATTTTTTAATTAATAAACGATCGCCAGAAACGTTTGTCTCACATTAATTCCAGAAACATTGCGAACTTTTATTCTCAAACTCTGTTCACCTTGGCCTGCTCTCAGAGGTAGAAAAACTACGCGTGCGTCCTTGCATCTGTACGCGAAAGTTAGCGGGAATTATAAATTATTAATTATAAGACCCATCTAAAAGCCACTGGCACAAAGTTGCCAGACATAACCTAGAAGTTCTGCGATATTACTACACAGATCTATGAAGGTTATAATATATTGCCTGGAACGAAATATTTCACACGAAATTTGTACTCTTAACTCCAAGAAACACATCGCTGACAAGCTAAAAATCATCGCGAGATTTTTTCATGTTCGACGTTTATGTTGCAAACTATGAACATTTCTTGTTTGGTGTAAAGTATGAATTTGATTGTTCGATGATAACTTTGCTCTGAAACTGATCCTCCG